CTCCGATGGGAGTACTTGAGCACATGGCTAACCCTCCTGTTATTAACAATCTGGCTATCTGACATGTACAATAAGTTTTTTTCTTTAAGTTTAATAGTTCTTTTAAAATTGTCTGCAACACAGCACCAACCCTAATCTACGCTGGGGGTGTTTGATATATTGCTCCGATTCTGGAAGTGTTTCGGGGAGCAGAAAATTAGCATTGTTTTGTTTAGGAAATAGCATTGAACTGAGACTAATTATACAGTATAAATTAGTGCATTATTAAGATAAGAGCTTGAAATACAAATGGAATCAGTGCTCATTCTTTGTCAATTGAAGCCTCAATGAAAACAGCCGCACTATGATTTTCTTCTTTTGCTAGATTTCATTACACACAGATACAGCTTGGCATCAATTCAGTCGGCTTTATGCTACTTTCTGCCATGCTCTAGGTTCATCCAGATGTCAGATAACATAGGAATCCAACTTGTGGTCTTAACAAGGAACCCGAGTCTTGTGAAATGGGGTACTCATTCCCGTGATGAAAGGGCTTCAGTCAGACAAATGGGAACTACACTCTAAATCACTAATGTTAAAATCCGAGAGGATTTCACATTGAAACTGATCTATGCTTCATTTTCTTTCCTCTTTGATGCTGGAATTTTCCACTCCTGCCTCCTCTTCTGTTCTCAAGGATTCCTAGCGCACACATGCACTTGGGATACTAGTGTCAGGATTGTTTTTTTAAAAGGAAACCGTATCCTTCTGAATCACCATCTATTTGGAAATGTTATAAATGAAGACATGTGTCCGGTCTCTTGTGCCTCTCAGGTATCCCTTGTGTTTCACGGTTCGAAAGAGTGGATCAGAGACAGACTGGGCGCAGGGGATCTGTGTTGGAGTCTATCCTAAAGTAACCCCGTGGCATTACAATCATAACAAAACTCTGTATTTGACACAGCCTTTTACATCAGGACTCTTAAACAGCTTCAGACAGTAACAGTAAAGAGGAGTGACTATATATTTTGTTGGCAGCCACATGAAGTCAATGACCAATTTTATCAACAATCTTATTGTTTTGCCAGGACAGTGGGAGAAACTCCCTTCTCTTCAAATAGCGCTATGAGATCTTTAAAGTTGCCCTGAACAGGCAGATAGGACCGTGGTTTAACGTCTCATCCAAAGGACTGCACCTCCGAAATTGCAACGCTCCTCCAGTATTGCACTGGAGCGTCAGCCTAGATTGTGAGCTCCAAATTGCTCACCTGATGAACTAAGAGGTGTGAGTGCTATCGACTGAGCTGAGAATACACCAGTTCAAATGAGAGTGTGAATAGGAGGATGTGTGTCATTGGCTACTTGCACATGCGTAGTCTCAGTATGGTAGAAATTACATTAAAATCAAAAGGAATTTAACACCATATGCATGTGTCCCCAGTCTCTCCCTCTCTGGCCAACAGTCGGAAAATACAGGAACAAGGGATGATTGAGTGGTACCAGTAAGTGAGTGCACAGATAGTACCCTTTGTAACGTTTACAATTATGTAGTCATTCAGATGAGTACAGTTCCCTTTTAATTGCTTCCAGTGCCACTTTGTTTTCTCTTGTGCTGAGGAGATTCTCTCTTCCCTCTCTCTCTCTGTGCCACCCACAAAGATCACACAGTCTGTGACAATGTGCACTATAATAGCACAAAGGCCAGCCAACAGGAGAATGAACAATTTAAGTGCAGAATTCAAAAGTCTTCACAAGAAAACAATAGCACCTTAAGGACTGTTTTTGTTTCGTTACTAGGTGATTCCAGATCCAGCATTGTCTGGGCTGAAACAACACTATGCTGTTAGCGGAGAGGAGGAGAGAAGCATTTGACAGTCTCTACAGTCTCTTTTGTAAAGAAATACCACATACTAAGCGTTAATGTTAATTATTAATAAATAGTGATAAATATAATCTTGAAATTTGACATAGCACCTTTCATGTCAGGAGGACATCTCAAAACACTTAAATAAATATTGGATTCATTCCATAAACATTGTAAATAAAGACCTTTCCACACAGGGCTATTAAATCAATGAAAGAGTGAAAATATCAGGTAAATCAGGGAATATATAAACAGCCGCCAGTCCACAAAAGCAATCTGTATAGCGCTTCTCATAGGTTGTCACTCTACAGTGGTGAACATAAAGCCATGTTCAGGGTCCCTAAGTCTCACACCAACAAATTCCTTGGGAGAGCAGAACAAATGAGGCTGGATTTACAATGTAAGATCTCTCGTATAAGTACGTTTTCAGTACTAAACTTTTACAGTAGTAGGTTGGGGGAAATGGGACATGTGATATGATCACATACTACATTTACTCCCCCCTTGAAATGTCCAGGATATTGTTGTTTCTGATGGAGATTTCTGTCTCTATGAGATTGAGACAAGGTATATCCCTGCCTTCGATGTCCCCATGGAGTTGTTTGCCTGACAACCTTTGATCTATGCAGGAAATGAAGATTTTGGAACAAGTGGAATTTGCCTATTGATTCACATTTGGAACCTGTATGAACTAATAATCTTCAATCAATAAGCTATTAAATGACAGGAGGGGGAAGAATGTGCAGTTTACAAGCACAATGTCTCAAAGTGCTTCATGGCAATGATTATAACGTGTTTGTGTTGGTTGCTTTTGTACTGCAAAACTTGCCTTTATACCACGGGGCGGCATATTAACAGTGGGGTAGCCTGATCAACTTTGCTCCTGACATGTTAATGTCAAAAAAAATGAAAGAAAGGGAAGAAAGTGAGTGAAAATTGGGTCGATAGGATTAGAGAATTGACTGAGAAAGAGGAAAAGCAGCACCGAGCTACTTGTGAAGTTGCAAGTGGGGTGTGATGTGAGAACTCGGTGAGGCCAGGCAAGTGCTGAGACAATGTTCTGGGCCAAGAGACCTGACAACGTGCTAAGAATGAAATGGACAGGGTGCCAGATGAGCAGCAGACTGACTAGACAAGCCCCCAATGAATGGAATAGAGAGGACATATATTTATACAATATACCAGAGCAGCACTCAAGTTATATTAATAATAACCTTTGAATTTAACACACATCGCCTTTCACATTCAGAGGCCACCACCAGGTCCTTCACAGGATTTTACTGTAATGTGCAGTGACTGTGTATTTTGTAGGCAGAGGTGGAAGCAAAGTCCCCCAAAACAGTCGTGAAATAAAAGCCGTTATCGTATTTCATCTGGGATATTGTTGGCCGGGTGACCAGGAGGAATTCCCCTTCTCTTTTCCAGTGAGAACAAGTAACTGGAGAAACAAGAAAAACAAATGCTCTTGTATAGCGCCTTTCATGTCAGGAGGACGTCCCAAGGCACTGGACTGTAGTGTCAAAGTCGTTGCTTTCCCACCAAGGGTGCCTTATCGCCTGAAGCAAAATACAAGAATGAGAAGCAACACTACTGATTTATGTATCAACGTAAAATATATATTTTGTACCTAGATAAAGACATTGGCTTGCTTAGAAACTCTCTACTTATTGAATTAGGACACAGACTCATTATCTAGGCTGACTTTGCTGTGGAGTGCTCCAATATCAGAGTAGCCTTCGGATGACACAAACCCAAGGTCCTATCTGCCTGTTCGCCCAGATGTTAAAGATCCCATGGCACAATTCAAAGGAAGGAGTTTCTCCCTGTGTGCTGGCCAACCATCCTGACACTGAATTGGTCATTCACTTCACGGCTGTTGGTGGGACATTGCTGTGTGCACTCCAGGGCGCTACCCTGCACGAGGGGCGCTATATAAATGCAAGTTGTTGTTATGTGCAAAAGACAGCTCTCAACGCGAGAACATGATACACCAAACAAAGATTATTATTTATAACGGGGAGGGGGAATCGAGCATGGGATAATTAATACAGATGACTGCTGTCTTGATCCTTCTCTATATATGTCACTGCTGTAAATTAGACCCTTCTCCCAATCTGGGATTATATAGACTAAACCATACGGAATATGCCATTCGGCCGAACCAGTCTGTATTGGTGTTTTTACACCTCACCAGCTTCAATCCTTCCCAATCTACGCTCCCATACCCATCTCCTAACCCCTGCTATTTACAATATACTCTCCTAAACCCCTTTCCCACATCCCTACCAATTTCCTCTCCCACTTTCTCCCTCGTACATTCAAGACCCACCTCTTTATTGCACTTCCAATGCTCTGTTTGGTGAATCATATTATTTATACTAGTTTGAAAGTGTTAAGTTGAACCGTCTGGCTAAACAATACCGAAAGTTGTGAGGATCCCCAAAACAGTGGACGTTAGCAAACCTCCACGCAAGCTCCCCCCAACTCCCAGCAAGTCAACATGAGAAACTCTGAATCATTTCTTAACTTAATATTTGTTTCCTCTCCACTGGGCTTCCCGCAGGTCTTTTCCATTCAAAACAACGATAAGAGAGTCGAGTGGTAATGATGACTAAACCATTGATTTGAAAGTGGAGGACAGGAATGGTAATGGGGTGACAGAGTCGTGTTAGAAAACTTGACCTGAAATTGACAAGCCTTGGTGGTGGGGGAGGGGGGGGGCGCGGGGGTGGTGGTTGAGGTTTTTTTTCCACCAGCCCGGAGTCTGACCCATGTCGAAACCCATCACCATCCTTACTTAAGAGCCTCCAAACCAAACTGAGAATTCCGTGCCGTCCCACCTACACATGAATGCACGGAAGGAACTCCCAAGTTTGGTTTGGATGCTCTTAAGTAAGGACGGGTTTCCCCATGTGTCAGACCTCCCCACACCCCACCTTGCTGACCCCCAAACCTCAGCCACCCCACCAAAATTGCAAAGAATGATTGATTAGAGAGAAGGGAGGGGGTGGGGGGGGGGGGGTTAAAAGTTTTAAAGAGTGGGGGGGGGGGTGGTGGGGGGGGGTTTAAGAGACAAGCTAGATGCTGAATGTTCCCCGCGACTTCTGTGTTGAGGCTTCAATAAAAAAAAACAACCCAAGTGGTGGCAGATACTCACGAACTCCCTCGATCTTGTCTGCAGTGCGGTTCCAGGACAGTTGTTGGGTTTCCATGATCACCTGTAAGGTCCTCCTCTCGGGTTGGGATTTCTTGAGATTGAAAACTGTCATTACTGTTCCCAACTCCAAGCTGCGCTTCAGTCGGCTCTTCTCTGACTCTGCCATTGAATTCCAATCCTCTCTCTTCCAAGACATCTTCTCTCGTTTTGGTTTTTAACGTGTGTGTGTATGTATATATATATATTAAAAAAAATCAACACTTTTTTTTTTTGGGGGGGGGGGGGGGGGAGTGGAGTGGAGAGGTTGTGTGTGGATGATCAGAAGGAGAGAGGGAAGGAGAGAGATAAAGAGAGAGGGAGAAAAAATTCCCAACTCAAAACTCTCAAAACTCCCTAAAGCCAAGAGAACTCGTTTGGCTTTCACTCCCAACGACCGACACAGACACAACCTGCGCCTCCTTTCGGGGCATGAAAGTTGCAGAAGTTTTACACAGTTTCTGAGTCACAGCAGTGACCTGAACACTTTACATATATATATATAAATATATATATATATCTACATACATATATATGTGTGGATAGATTTTCCTTTTTCTTTTTTTATATTAAAAAAAAGGAGAGAAACAATCAAGAAAGGTTCACAGATTACCTTCTCTTTTGGGGGTCCACTTTATGCTCAGTCCAGATGTTTCTTTTGAAATATATGTATGTGTGTGTGTATATATATATGTAAAAAAAAGCGGTGAAACTTTTTAGGAGGGTCTAAAAAGAACCAACATCTTGCCTGTTCCTCTATTTAGCTGCATTGAGGAAGTAAGTTGATATTCTGCTCAGAAAAACACACTATCCGGAAACGCTGTTGATTGCATTTATGCAAAACTACAAAGCTGCCTTAGGACCTAAGGCTTAGATATTACTTCGTGTCAGCAAAGGAAAGGGGGGGGAAATTATATTGCATTTAGTTTTACATTAGTACAGCGCCACCTTGTGTATTCTCTCTCTCTCTCTCTCTCTCTCCCTTAACCCCCTCACACACACACACACACACACACTCACACTCACACATTTCCCAAACTCTTGGATGTCACAAAGTATTAAAGAGAACTTTGTTCAACTTACTCTAGGACTGGCCGGGTAAGTTCCTTATTCAATCCTCTCCCGCCCACGACACACCGCCGCTCGACACGGAGTTGACCAGAGATCTTTGTCCAGCCAAAGGTGGATCAGAAAGCTGGAAGCGCTCCACAGGATTCACTGTAAAGTGCGGTGACTGTGTGTGCTTCTCGACGTGACCCCGGCAAAACTATTTGTGCTCGACAATGTTCCCACAAACAGCCATGAAGCGGACGATCGACTTTATCAGGGGTGAGGGTTTTGAGGGAAACACCAGAAGAAACTCTCTTCTCTTTTCAAATAGCGCCACGGGAATCCTTAACATCCGCCTGAGCAGGCACAGCCAGGATCTCGGTTTAACGTCTCATCGAATGGACAGCAGCTCCAACAACGCATCAGAGCATCAGCATGGATGATACGAGTTCCAACTCCTAATGTGGGGATTAAGAAACCATTCAGTTCTGCCTTATATAATATAATAATAATAATCCGTGCATTTGATATAGCGCTTTTCACGTCGGGAGGACGTCCCAAAGCACTTGACAGAACACACTGTAAAGTGAGTTGACTGTATATTTGTGGGCGAACGCGGCAGCCAATTGCGCACAGCAATGTCCCACAAACAGTCGTAGATTGAAAATGACCAATTTATTATTGTTTTTGGTTTTGGAGGGATTATTATTAGGCTCTGTGTGGAGTAAGGAAACTTGCCCAAGGTTTCGCCCTCTGCCTGGAATTGAACTCAGGTCTCTCGCTTGCAAAGCGAGTGCTCTAACCACTGAGCTACAGGACTCCGATATGTTACCCTTTAGGTCAACTCTGTTTCTGGCTGTGGACATGATGCCAGTCTCTGGGAATGGGCCAACAGATCCAAAGAGCATCGCTGAGGACTGACAGCTCGATTTCTCTTTCCTTCCCCCCCACCCCCTGCCTCGCCCAATCCCAGGACAAAAATACACGGTGACAAGGTCACGCATTTCCCATGCTGTTCCTGTTGACTCTGGGATCGGAATGAAGACCTGACTTCGCACTTCGCATAGTGTTATGGACTTGACATTACCTTGTGTGCTTACAGCGTAAAACAAGATAACAGACTTGCCAAAGAGGGGTGGTGCTGAGTATCTAGAATATGTTGTTACCTCTCGCACCTGCTTCCAGTGCACTATTGGAGCCCAGAGAGAAATGATAGCAGAATCTCCTCTGCTCCTATCCTCACAGCTCACTCTTACAGATTAAATCAGTTCACAAACACAGTACTACCTCTGTCTGCTACCTTGTACAAGAACATAATAATCTCTGCAAAAGTTAAAGAGTTTACTCCAGTAAAGCTTAACTAACTTGCCTGTCCAAAGCCTTATTTTGATGTAATACTCTGAGGGAGGAAACTAACCACAACCAAAAATTCAGAGAAGATAAAGCTCAGTGAAATTCAACCCTGACTATAAATCTAATCTAGTAATTCCAGGATAACAAGATCATGTTACTGCATTACTCAGCTCTGGTCAGTTACATTCCACAAATGGTATTCCTCTGATCTCACCGACACAGTCTTCGAAAGAGCTCCATTACGCTCGCATACCAGGCTCCGCGACCCCATCGCCCCCATCTTCGCCCAACTCCACTGGCTTCCAATCACGCAGAGGATACAGTTCAAGATCCTCCATGGCCTTGTTCCCCCTACCTCTGCGACCTCCTAACCCCCTACCATCCTGCCCACTCAGCGAGCTCTGGCCTGCTTCACGTCCCCCACCTCACTCACCCCACCATTGGCAGGCGGGCCTTCTGACACTTTGCCCCCACCCTGTGCAATTCCATTCCACAGTCCGCTTCATCCCCTCCCTTGCCTCCTTCAAGATCCATCTCAAGGACCCTCTTATTTGACCATGCTTTTGATCACCCTGCTTCCTCCCCTGCTCTCCACCCTCACTGATCCCGACCCCTCGCTCGGGTCCAAAACTCTGACTGTTCAGCACCTTGGGATGTCCTCCCAGTGTGAAAGGCACTATACAAATGTAATTTTGTTGTTATTGTTGCTTCACGTCCCTGCCTCACCTGCCCCACCATTGGTGGGCAGCCCTTCTCCCATTCTGCTCCCACCCACTGAAAATCCACCACGCAGTCCCTCTGCCTCACCCCCTCCCTTGCCTCCTTCAAGACCCATGTCAAGACCCACCTCTTCAACCGTGACTTTGATCACCCTCCTTCCCCCCTCCCCGCTCTCCACCCTCCCCAATCCTGACCCCCAGTTGGGGTCCGAAACTCTGATTTCCAGGGCCTTGAGATGTCCTACTGACATGAAAGATGCTATACAAATGTAGTTTTGTTGCTATTGTTGCTTGTTTTTGGAAGGATAGCAAAGTTTGGAAAACAGCACTTACAGCATCTCCACTGCAATCCTAAAGTTGTCCCATCAGCAAATGGTTCTGAGGTTTTAACATTACCTGTCCAAGATCTTGCTTTCAACCATGTTTCGGTCACCTTTCACTCCACCCTTCCTGATCTCTCTCCCCAATCCCCACCTCATGCTCCCAGTCAGCTCTGCGAAGAGCTTTGAGACATCCCCATGTGAAAGGCACTGTGCAAATATCCATCATTATTGCTGTTGATTTCAAAACCAGTGTATCATAAACCCTTCCCAATCAAAGTACACCAAATTCCGCCCATATCATATGATTAATAGTAAAGTATTTTTGTGGATCTATCCATCATTAATATGTTGAACTTTGAGATGTCTTGATGACATGATAAATGCTATAATTAATTATTATTAAATAGAATTACACCACGCATGTCTAACCTTGAAAAGTCTAGCTGTTGGTATGATCAGTGCAGAATCTCTCATCTCCTCCATAAATATGGTCCCAAAACGGAAAGAGAATGTGCCTCAGAGTTTGATCTAACAGCGAAGTACTCATCCCATCCTGGAACCTAAAAGTATTGATATATTTTTGTGGTGAGTAAAGCCAGTTCACTCACTGAACCATTCACTTGGTAAAACTTTCGCTTTGTATGAAGAAAATAATTTTCACAGATGTTCAGTCCCTCGGTAACAATCATTCCCCTCCTGCTGCAAACCTCAATTTCCTATTGTTGAAGACATTCCCTTTGTAACTCTCTGGACACACGAGACATTTCCTGTAACCATCGCTATTCAAATTTGCTTATGAAACTACATCATATTCGGGGCTTGTTCCTCCTAGCATTGCGTGATCTTCATGTCTTCCTTTGGAACTTTGCCTTTCTTCTTGGTATTAAAGCGTTTATATTTATGTTACTGTTTCAGTTCATGTTACAGCGTTCAAACTTATATCTTGGTATCTAAGTTTATGTTACATTCTTTATACTTAGGTTACAGAATCTAAACTTGTATCTCAGTGTCTGGCTTATGTTACACTGCTTAAGCTTTTACCTCAGTGTCTAATGTTATTGTTACACAGTTTAAGTTTATGTTAAAATGTTTGATAATAATAATAATCCTTGCATTTGATATAGAGCCTTATCACAACTTCCAGGACGTCTCAAAGTGCCTCACAGAATATACTGTAAAGTGAATTGACTGTATATCTTGTGGGTGTTTAAGTTTGTATTACATCGTTTCAGGTTGTTTTACACTGTTACAGGGTATGTTTAAGCTGATGTCTCGTGTGTGTTATTTCTGGTTTTCCTGTCTGGGAGGCGAGTGACTGAGTTTCGACCCAGTGAAGAAGGACAAAGTCAGATCTCCATTTTGCACCTTCACGCCAAGCTCACTCTACACTAAGAGTCCGTTGCGCAAACCCACATCCTGCCACTTGACAGCAACGGACACAATCTGCAAGTTGATAAGAAATACTATCCAATTGTAACTTTTATTTCCCTCTATCGTTACAATTTTAGTTTGGTCCCTTTCTGTTCAATATTCTCTAACAATTCCCCTTTCTTGTTTCCTCTTTTCTTCCCGTTTGCTTTTCTACTTTTAATTTTATTTTCCCTCTTTTCACTTACTCTTTGTTCTTTCACATTTCTGACTTCACTACTGATATGGAGGGAACAGTTACTACACTTTACAATGAATCCTATGAAAGCCTTTCTAGACGTCCTCCTAACATGAAAGGCACAATATCAAATACAAGGATTATTTTCATTCT